ATAACTTGAGTTACAAATTTGAAAAATTAGTGCAGGTTGACATTTGTTTTTTTTTTTAATGGGCTTTGCGATTTTTATAATTTTTTTATTAGGTTATCACGATTTTGTAATTTAAATTATAAGTTTGGTGGGATAACATAGGCTAGCTCGACCCTAATTCTTGGGGTTGCAAGTATATCATACTAACTTCAATTGACTCAATCTAATTTAATATTTTTATATTTAATAAATTAAGAATTGAGTTCCATCATTGTTCCTTTTTAAAAAATATCTTTTTTAAGTTATCGTGATTTTTTTTTATTTAGTCTATTTGTTATAGTTGCTTATTTTTTTAATATCTAAGTTGCCTATTTTTTAAATATCTAATTAAATAAAATCAATTTATTTGACACAGTTAAATCTATATCCCTAAGTCACATATTTGTCAGAAAAACAATTTCAGCCTTGCGTAACGGATGTCCACATCTATTATGTTTCTATACAATCACTCAAGATCACAGAAATTGTCATAAAAAATCTCTAAAAGCTATAAGGGAAAGCAAGTTTTAAGACCAAAACCTTTCATTTCAACCAAAGCCAAAAAGTTATTGGCAAAAGGCCAAGTAAGTGATGAAGAATTTAGCTTTTTGACAGAATAAAGCTTGAACATGACCTAGACCTCTCATTTCAAACCTGGCATAGAAATAGCAAATCCATGGTTTTTTAAGCTGAGTCTTGTTCTTACCTCAGGTCTGCAAACATCTCTTCGGAAACCCGTGAGAAGAAAGACCTCCAACAGCCCTTAAAAAGACATCAGATTTCTCTTTGGGACCATGGATATTTCTAGCCTAAGGCAAAAGTCGTATGTTGCTTCTTTAACTAATTTCGTGTTGCATGTTTTAGACTTGACCGTCAATTAAGCAGCCACATACAATTCAAGTAACTTTACAGTTGTATTAGCTGCTGCAAATTGCCCATCTTTACGTAGAAATCATCAAAGAGAAATCTGAAGCCAATGGCTTTCAAGATGCTGTGTTTTTTAAAATTACGTAGAGATGCATTTTTTCTCTCGAATGCACCATACCGATTAATTAAAGAGTGTATTTTTACGATTGTTTGGAGAAAATCTTTAATCTCGCTTGACACATAAATTGATTTGAGAATATCATTTTATTATCGAATAAAATAATCACTAAAGAGCATAATAATGGAACCTTTCTGTGCCATTTGAGCTCAGTTAACTTCAAAATTAATCTAACGATTATATGATAATATGTTTCGCAAATGCATTTCAAATGATTTTTCAGGAGGGCTTAGATTTGGTTTGAAATTAGCTACAAATCAAAGCAGCAACACCACCTTGCCTGAGATAATATCGTCTTCTTTTTATTCAAATAACTTATTTTTATTTATGTTTTCTAAAGGGTATGATTTGGTTTAGAATCGAGTAATTAAATTATTAAATTATCGAACAACTTGTATCAATTATTTTTATCTAAAATGATATAGTTTTTGTTTTTTTTTATATAAAAATATACTTTGAAGTTGACCTACAAAAACTCTTCTAGGTTATAAGTTACTCAAATTTAATTAATATATAAAAAGATTCAAAGTAAAACTAAACTTGGATCAAATTTCAAGTTGAATCACCATGCTAAATGGATAATCCGGTCAAGTAGCTTCACAGACTTTGAGCTAAAGAACCTCCAGCTATCATGGTATATGTAGCCTAAAGAAACAAAACCTATATATCCTAAGCAAGGTAGTTGGAGTGAATTATTTCCTGTGATAATAAAATAAAAAGGTCCTTAGCTGGAGTAAATTTCTTGTGATCATAGAAGAACTCCCTCCAAAATCCCAAATACAGACACTACAAGGCTTTTGAAGTGAATTGTCCAAGTACATCTAATTGTAAATCTCCATGGCAGTGCCTTCAATCGAAGAATTTCAGCCTCCCAATTAGAGATTTGAATAGTTTCCCTTCTTACTCGAAAATAGCAACTCAAATATGGGATCCCGTGAAACAATAGTTCACTCTT